GTAAAACACTTGTGGTTTCTTACAGAACCATATATTCTGTTTTGAAACAGAATATATATTTTTGGGGACACGTGTGGGACAGTATATTTTCAATAGCTGAATACTTTTTACCAGGCCCCTTATCTTGCTTGTTTTTTTGTGCTTTTCATTAAATAACATCTTACCATATTCTGTCCTACCTGACAAAATGTCACACAATTTGGGTAGGTTGAAAGAAGTCTCTTGGGGCGTCATGTAGTTCGTCTTCTCTAATCTCCACCTGAGCCTGCTCTGGGCCTTGTCTCTTATCAAACCACACAGTCTCTCTGTAAGAAGTGAGCAAGACCCACCAAAACACCACAGAATCTTAACTTGAGACTTACCTGTTTTGCATCACTGAAACATATAAATATTGAAATGGACATTCTAAAACAGGATGTAGCTTAAAAAGAGAAATCTGAAGTTGTAAATAAAAGTCAAAAAGAAGGATATAAAGTTACCAAGGATGCAAAGTTTGTTGCTGAGTCCAGTGTCACTGCCATGTTATCATTCCTCTGCTGTTGCCATTATGTTTTTCCCCTTTGGCCTTAGAATGGGATCTCTGCCCTGCTTTTGGAATACTACTGTGTTACCATGACGCCAGCTGGGTATCCGTGTCGCCTGTAACAAAAGCCAGTATGGCCATTGTTCTGTGCTCTAGTTACAGTGTACAAGGCTTTCTGCTTCTGAAGTCCTGCCTGCTGATGCTTAAGGGGGCTAAATGTAATGACAATTTTGTTAGAAAATGGAGGCCCCTACAAAAGCTCAGAGCCATAAAAGGGACATCACAAGACGTGCAAATTCCCATTTATTCAGAATGTTAAAATAAGTCAAGACTCGTAATAATTAAAGTTCTGTCCTTGATTAATTAAAAAACAGACACAATTTTTCTTTTGAAGTTATTAACTTAGATAGTCATGAAATCAGTTAAATAAAAAATATCCATGCTTTATTTTGTTACCTTTGACCTGCAAAGATCAAAGAACTTTGTGTTAAAAAGATCAATTCAAAGCTTATGAGCAATAATAAAGAAGGTGGGTCATCTGAATCATGTTCCTGGCCTTTTTTTAAAAAACAACAACTTGAAAAACAATGTTCTTCTCCTGGCATAGAGTGTGGGCCCTTGTTTTCAAGCTGTTTTTTTGCATTTGGGGACAATAGCACCATGAAAAGAACACAACCTGCTGTCTGCCTGGCCTGACAAGGAGGGCACAGAGCCCTGCTTAGTCCTCGATGAGACAAAAGGCCTCATTCTCTGGGTCGTGCTCTAACTTGCCTCCTGCGTCCGTCTTCTGACTGGGACTCATAAACCTTCCTGAGCCTGTACAAAGCAGGGCCAGCCCTTATGACTGGGCACTTCACATGGTCATGGGGAGAGTGGGGAAGTCAGACAGACAGGCTTGTACATATCGGTCAGAGCAGTATATGTCTGTCACAAAACCTGGCCCTTGCGCTTTGTAAAAATGGTTTGGTTTGAATGCTCTGTAACTGGGTCAGAACTTCAGAGCAAATCTGTCTCTCGTTACCCTGGTATAGGTGTTGTAGTGATGATATATTTTACCTAGTAAGTGCCATTTGGCCAATTCAGCTGACTAATGGAAAATGAGAAGCTGCTGCCAGCTTTCTGAAATAATAATGTGTACTTACATTCACAATTGCATAGTTGTAGGACACAGGAGTCAGTAGACATAATCTAGTTCATTTGGTTGTTAGTATATGAATAATGTATTCATTATATTTTAACTGCTTTTGAAAAACCTGCTGGTTTTTAGCCTCAATGTCCTCCACCTCAAAAACCAGACACTCATGCAGTATCCTGATAGAGGAGTAGACATCTCTCATTCTGTGACTTGTTCTTCAGAATGAAAGTCAGTGCTTACAAAATCAGCATGCTGCAAATAATGTGGTCTATGCACTCCAGGCATGCACACGGTTAGTTATGGTTAGTATGGCCCAGTCGAAGTACTTTTAAATCAGAATTCAATATCCCTGGTTTAGTGTTACAGAATTGGACGCTGATTGAAAACATGCAGGAAAAAAAATGTCAGGTGTTTCCTTTAAATTGAGAGATTTGAAGGAGTTTCAACAGATTTTATAGAACAATCGAAATAGCGACACCTTAAAGTCTTGATTAAGCTTAAAAGCTGTCTACTAAGCAGTTCCTAGTCAGCTCAGTCCATGCGGGGGCCATGTTGCACCACCTTAGTTAAAGTTTCTAACCAGCCTGCCAAGACCTGGTGAGATACATTTGTCTTTGGTCTCATATTTCTCACATCTGATCTTGAGTGAACCAGTACTAAATTCTTCCTGTTCCTATCCTGTGTTGTACTGGAATGAATTGCCAAAAATGGTTATCTAAGGATCTTGACACGGACTGCCAATTTCTGTTTTTTTTCAGATAATTAAACTGAATAAAATTATAGGGAAACAATGCAGTCCTCAATGTCTTTCTTAAATTGAAGTTAAAATGGAAATAAGTTTAATCTGTAGCATCTTTAAAAGCCTCTTCATGTAATTGATTTCACATGACAGGAAAGATGGCTGAGGATGGGGTGGTTGACGTATTGTCTATTTTTTCCTTTTCCTTCAGCAACACTTTTAAAAAAATCTATTCTTTGAATTTCCAAGATAAACATTTTTTAAATTATTTATGTGTGAAGTATTCCCTTTCACCAAGTAAATTTCTTGAAGTCTGAGACTGGTAGGCGAGTCTAGACATTTTTTAGCAGTAGTTAAGGAAGTGCCAGCTGTTTGGAATCCTGACTTGTTTACAGTATAATATCGGAGTCCTTCATACACAGATGGTGCTGAAACCAGGTTGTGTGTTGATATTTCAAATCGTTTTTCAGTTGTTTTCAATGAATCGGACTTTTGTTATCCTCTTTTTTTCCAAAAGAGGATGATTGAACAGGTCTGAGAACCACAGGAGACTGGTTCAAGGACTTATCTTGGGATTAGACTTCCTTTTGATTAAGGGTTTATTTTCTTAAACCATGACTTAAGTGTTTCAGCAAGAGAGCCTGTGTGCTTTCAGATTAATTGAGGGAAATGTAAGTGATCGCTAGTGTTTTCCTTACCTTACTTTTTCATATGGGAAGCACATGGAGGAGTAATCACAGCCTCACCTTCCCAGACTTAGTAACTCCACCCCCCACCCAGCATGGTGTTAAAGCTAGAGTAATGCAGCCTTTCATTCATGTTCACCACTGGTCTCTTAGATACTGCCTTTGTTTGGGTCTTTCAGGCTTGGCAAAAGCAGTTAAACATTAAAAAGGAGAGCTGTAAAATGAGCTAAAAGAGTCTGGTGACATTCTGTGGAGCAAACGAGGGAAACAACATGCCCCCCCCCCCTGCCCCCAGTTAAATTGTTTGTCGTGTGTAAACCAGTTATTATTCTGAAGCTAGATGGAGGTTTTCAGGCAGACCCTCAAAGGCTTTTAATGTAAAGTGAGCCTGTGCCAGCTTTCTGAAATAATAACAGACTTGTATTCACACACACACACACAAAAAGTTTTAGGACATAGCAATCAGAAGGCATGTTCTTTTGCATAAGAACGTTTTTTTAATCTAGCGAGTTGGGTTGTAATTCTTTTCTGTCAATCCCTTCCCTGAGAATGAGGGAAAATGTATTTACCATTGTTTGGTCAATGTTGAAAAGGAAAGCAATGGGTAAAAAATATCATTGAAATCTGCTCCTCAAAATCTTGGAAAAAATGGAAAACAAAAGCCAAAGTGACTATCTTTGCTGAAACAAATTCACAAAAACTGGAGTGAAAGAAGTAGTGATTGTGTGATTCTGTCTTGCACATTAACTGAAATCTATTGTAAACAAAGTGTTAAAGCAAAGGCTTTCTTGCAGTAGGTGTATTTTGGTCCCTCCACCCAAGAAAGGCCCCAATGCAAATGTAATACGACATCTTTTTACTCCTGAGAACAGAGCACTCTATGAGATTGAGATTGCCGTAAACATTCAGAGTTGAACTCCTAGAATGTTACTTAAGAGGAAACAAGGAAAAAATTTAAGTGACATCCAAAACTTGGCAGCTGTACTGTAAATAAAAAGCTGTATATCTGAAAGAGCTCAAATGCACATTAGTAACACAATACCTAGTAACCCAAGATGGACCTCTGGGGTTAAATGAAGTGTTCATTTAGTATTTTTAGCACCGGAACAATATTTCTTTCTCAAGATCCTTGACTGCTCTCAAGGAAATCCTGATGGTTTATCTCAGATTTATGTCTCCTTTACTTTCTCTTTGCACTTAGAAATGTATTTGGCAAAGCTTGGTTAAAGATAACTCTTCAAGTGTGTGAGAACTTTTCTAATTACATGCAGAGAAGGCAGTAGGTATTATAGCATCATACAATGAAAAGTTGAAACCAGGATGTAAATTGTTTTGGAATCAAGTTCTCTTAATCGTTGCTGAGTGAAGCTTGCCTTTAAAAGTGATTTTTTCTTGTGCAGTAGTTAAGATACCATCTGCATCTTCTTTTGTAATACTGTGTACAATTTTGGTCACTAGATCACAAAAAAAGATATTGCTGCTCTGGAATCAGTCCAGGGAAGAGCAACCAGATACATTCTGGGGTTTAAAAGAATGTCAAACACTGACAAGCTGAAAGAACTAAACCTTTTTAGTCAGAAACATAGAAAACTACATGGAGGCCCAATGTATTGACAGAGTCATTCCAATGACCTTCTGAACCAGTGAAACACAAACCAAAGATTACCAGTGGAAATATTGAGACCAGGTTGCAGGCACTTCTTTACATAAAGGGTTGTGGGAGTTTGGAACAAGTTACCCAGTCAAGTTGTTAAGGCAGGAACCTTTCTTTCAAGAAATGGGTGGATTAGATATTTTATGATCAATTAGCTTATAACTACTAAACAGGCTATATGGGCTGACTGGCCTTCACATATTTATAACCTTTCTTATATTCTTCAAAATGTTGATGTTTGTTTTGTCTTTTGTTCCTTGCAGGTGATGTGTCTCCAGTGCACATGTCTCCCATCACTCAGTCCCAGTTCATTCCTCTGTCAGAGGTGCTGTGCTGTGTCATATCTGACATGAACGCTGCTCACATTGTTGTCAACCAGGAGGCCTTGATCAGCCACATGATGAAAGCACACCCAGGTACCGATCTGTCATCCATGTGCAAGACATTATCTAACCCGCTGACAAACTGCGAAATGAAAATAAAAAACGACTGACATTTTGACAAAGTTCACTTTTAGCATTGCTTCACATCATGCTAAACTTATATTGGTGGACAGAAAGTGTTAAGATAGCTCACTAAAGAGATTTTCGTTTAACGTCATCAAAGGTTCTGACAAAGGCGGTTGTCCTTTACTCTCCAGTACTTCAGGAGAAAAGTATAATCATTATTTTATGTAATGTGGTTACATGTGTTTAATGTATGCAACTTAAAAGAAGCATGTTTAGTGAAAATTGTTTTGGAACAAACCCTGTGCTCTTTGAAATTTTCAGATTTTTTTACAATGAATGAGCTTGGCTTTGTATTTGCTGTGTGAAAATCAAAGAGGGGACAACAATAAGATGCTTTTAAAGTACCATTTCAGAATTTACAAATAAAACACTTGGTCTGGAAGAAACATTTGGATGAATCATTTCACCATGTTGTTCGGATGCACATATTGGAACTGGTGTTATTTTATGGACACTAAGTGGATCAAGATCAATTTTAGCAATTTTAGAGTTGGATCCTGTGCAAAAAAGGCCATTGCCTGAACACTCTTTGTGCATACTTTAATGTATTCTATAGATGAGTCTGTTGGAGCTGATGGTTTTTGTTGGTTGGTACAAGGTCAGAGAGTACTCTATCCAGAATTAGCCTGTAGCCTCTAGACCTCCCTATCATTCTACTTGGTAGAGTAATAGAGAGGATTAGAGGAGTTTATTGCCGTATGTACATGTATATGTATATTGAAATTCTTATTTGCGCTGATCTCTTAGGACATATGAAGTAGAGTAGCAGACGAGACAGTATGGCAGACAACACCACACAGTGTAGACAGTACATTACGAAATGGCACATAATAAATAGTAACAACCAGAGCGATAGATACGTTGTATAGAACAATCAATATGTGGTGGTGGAGAAAACAAACATGATAGTCCTTGCAAAAAGTGCATATTGCAGTGGTGCGTTGAGTTCTGAGGCATTGCAGTTGGCCCTTAAGGATGTCTACTGGCTAAAGCTTCAGTGGTCTCAGATTAAGTGACTCATTTTGGCTCACTTTTAACATTAACCCATTTTTGTCTAATTTGTCTGAAGTTTAGTTGAGCTTATATGTGTATCAAGAACCAATATGGGGTTTACAACAGATTACCCTTTCTGAGCAAGGGTAAGGCCTTCTAATGGAGCATACCATTATGTTTTGAAACAGATTCCTTGATGTAAAAAACTCCAGTGGCCAACAACTTTTGTCCTGCTGCTTGTTCTTTCTGATTAGCTCAGCACTGATGTTTATTCTAGATATGAACTCGAAGAGCTAAAATGCCTTGTAGAATCTTAAACAGAAAACAACAGGCAGTTTTACAGTATGTGAAGTACTTGTACATCTGCAGTAACCACTGATTAATTGAAGTGTGCCCAGTCATACAGAGACACATTTTTCAAACTCATGTCGGTTTGCTTTTCTCTCAGGCATGTCGATTCCTACTCAAGACATCCTCTACAGCGCACTGGGTGCCTTGATAAAGGAGAGGAAGATCTACCACACAGGAGAGGGATATTTCATTGTCACCCCGCAGACTTACTTCATCACAAACAGCCCGGCAAAGGACAAGCAAAGGTGGATCACAGCAGAAACTGACCCTCCCCTCCCCCCTCCCATCACCTACCTGGTGAGCACTGAAAGCTGTGTCGAGTCGGCTGGCGACACTGTCCCCGTGGTGGCGCACTGCAAATCCTGCCGCTGTTTCGCCCAGCAGCCGGCCCAACCCGTGCACGACCAGCAGTCTATCAGCGAGTGCACAGGCAGGAGCTTCAGGTGGGCGAAAGAGAGCAAGCCCACCATCCAGCACCAGTCTACCTCCACAGCGGCGGACTACCAGCCAAGCGAGGCCAGCAAGTCGACCGCCACCCGCAGAGACAAGGAGAAAACCGGCAGGAAATTCGGCCTCAGCCTGTTCAGGCGCAACACGGCAAAGAAGGAGAAACCCAAGAAGGAGTACGCCACGTTCTCTGCCCAGTTTCCCCCGGAGGAATGGCCTGTCCGGGATGAAGACGACTTGAACAACCTCCCCCGTGACCTGGAGTTAGCCATCATCAAGCGCATCAACCCAGAGCTCACTGTTGACAACCTCGTGCGACACACCGTCATGATGAAGAAACTGGAAGAGCGAGGCATCAACAAGGGCATCTCCACCGAGATACTGGGCCCCAGACATCGGCACCACTTGAAGGGTCATAATAGAAGGTCTTCCTCCAAAGCTGCGCGGCTCAGGAAGAGAGGACTCCCCTCCAGAGAGAAGCACAGAACCAAAAACAAGTCCTCAGTCTCGAACACTGAGTTGGAGGGAGTGCAGGAGGCAGAAGTCATTAAAGAAAAAGTGCCTTGTCACCTGAACCCTGAAATGCCAGTGGACGAGCTGGATGCCAAAATATATGAGGATCTTGTCACTGTCGAATCGAAACATATTTACAAGAAGCGGATTGATAATCCGTTTCAGGACAGGGCGGTGAGAGACAGCGGTCTGGAGACGGGTCCAAGGGCTCAAAAGAAGCGTGACTCAAAGGGGCAAAGGTCAGAGCGGAGGGAGCGCACTGCCCACAGGTCCAAGTCTTGGGATTCATCCCGGGCAAAAGCCTTGGTTGACGAAGACGGGCGAGCACCGGATGATAGGTCCTGTGAAAATATTAAACCAAAAGGTTTTAATTATGATGCCGCTGTGGACACCAGTCCACAGGAGTATGCTGGGGACTATGGCTCAAGTTATCCAGACAGTAGCACCCTGAGAATAGAAGACAAGTGGAAACAGCACGTGAAGGATGTCAAGCCCAAGGGTAGTGGTTACTATGCCGCACAAGAAAAAGAATCCAAGTACAAGGTTTTGCAGGATGGGTGCATAGAGAACAGTCTGAGCACAAAGCACCTCTCCAGGCAGACAGAGGCGGCAGATTTACTCCCTTCCCATTCCTTTCCACCTCAGGTCACATACCACTGTGACACAGCCACAGTGCCGTCATCGTGGCCCATGCCAAACAACCAGCACCAGCTCTCTGTTGCACTGAAACAGCTGGACAGCACAGACGACAGGAATCAGAAGCCTGATCTCCAAACCACACATTCACAGTTAAATAGTGCAAAAGGTGGACTCTCATCAAAAAGTAACGGCCAGCGGACTGCTTCAGCTCACATGGACAGTGAGGGTTTCACAGATGATGACCAAGCTGTGTATCAACAGGCAGTGGAGGATGATGATGGCTGTAGTTCACTGTACCTGAATGAGGATTCTGATCTGGATAGCAATGAAGCCTCTCGATCCGGCACAGTGCATTATCATAAGCCGTTTTCCAAGAGGGATGACTGGAACAGTACTGGAGTGGAGGAGGGCTCTGTTGGTGCACAGCAGGAACACGCTGAGGTTTTTGGGACTCACTGTGAAGAGGATGATTTGAGGTGGCACGAGCCTGGTAGTCAACACCCGGCCAAGCCGAAGAATATCATGCAAACAGACAACGGCCGTAGGATGTCTCCGTTCCTTTACGAGCACCTCGAAGACGCAGTCCAGGATGTGGAGCAAATGGAAACCGTTGATAGCAGCATATTTGACTACTGCCACACCAGTGAGGCTGACTCAGATGCTGAAACTCTGCACAAATCTTCAGATGAAGGGGATGACAAATCTTCGCTCTGGACCTGCGACCAGCACGTGGAGGAAAGTCTCAGAAAACAGTTTGAGCAAAAGTTAGAGCTTGTTGGTACATCACACACTACTGTTACAAGTCCGAATGCCCAAGGAAGGCCAGTTCCTGGGGAAACTGTAGAAAATCACAGCATTACAGGGGACAGTGGAATAGATTCCCCAAGGTGAGTGTTCCTGTATGGTGTAACTGTCTAGGACTTTGACAACCATCCCCACTTACTGTGACGAGACTGTCTAAGAGTCGAAAAGTTTCGGCAAGTATTTCTAGAATTGAAATTAAGATCACATTATAGTTTACTTAGGCAAATTGTCGTTTTTGCAATTGGAAACATCTTAAGGTAAAGCAGGTAGAAAGTAAATTACAATTAAGCCATCTAATATGAAGGCTCCTTACTTTTTTTAGAATGAGGCAATATTCGCACTACAGAGTTTTTAATCACTTCAGGCATTAATCAGAGTGGTTGTTGTTTTGGGATATTGCTCGGGTGGTAATGACATTATAGAAGAAAGGTGTTATAAAGTGGCGTACTGTGGATTAACCTTTCAGCATTTATACAGCAACAGTCTCTAATTCTATCATGTTTTATCTAATGTTCAGAAGAACACCAAAGCACACCAGGTTGTAAGTGGTTCCAGCAGGTTGCTTTACAAACTGAATGCAGTTATAATGACTGTTTATAGTGGGTTTATGACCTAAGTGATTTGTTGAGGAATGCAATAAATAAATAGCTGTCTGAGGAGTATGTGAATTCTAAACATCACCTGCCCTTCCCTCTGTGAGGAGAAACACATGCTCTGACACCTGCTGGCCTCTTTCATTTTTTATTTCTTGATCTTTCCCTTCCTTCACTATTGTGTCATCTCATGTTCTCCTCTGCACTTCACCTTGAGCCCATAATTAAAAAGAAATAAAAATCCAGAAGGTTCGGAGAAAAATGGGACTATGAAGGAAGAGGATTATACTACATCCTGAAAATAGCAAACGATCAACCACACCAGCTGTTGCTCAAAGCAGTAATCCGTATCACTACTCCTGTTTAGACTGCATTCTTATTGTTAATCTTGCATTGGAATGAGGTTTCTTGAAAGGATAACAGGAATGCAAGAGAAACCAGTATAGAAGGATATACTGTACAAAAAACTAAGAAAATAATGGAAAAAAGCAGACTACATAGGGAAAATTTTATTATGTAGTTTAACAAAATTTTGAATGACATTCTCTTTAGAATGATTAAGAATGTCACCATACCTTTGTAGTACTCTTTGCAGTTCCTAACTTGAAATATTTTTTTTTATGGAATTTGCAATCATTGATGTGCTATAGTTCAGGTGGGTAACCGCATCAGCATGCGTAGTCTGCAAAGGAACAAGTAATAGGTTTATTCCATGCTGAAAAGAGAAGAGAGAAAACAACGTTTTTTTGTGAAGAAGGCTTCAAAGCCGAAACATTGTGTTTTCTCTCTTCTCTTTTCAGTATGGAATAAACCTAGTACTTGGTCCTTTGATGTGCCATGCCTTATTCAGCTATGTATTTATAACTGGGGAAAAAACACACATCCGTGACGATGAAAAACATGGTTATTAACAGCGCTGGTGTTTTCCCCCAGGACTCGTGTGAGCCTCGCGTCCAATAACTCGGTGATCCTCGAAGGGCTGAAAAGGAGGAGCTTTCTGCAGAATCTGGAGAAGCTCCACTCAAAAAGCAACGTGATCCGGCCTCAGAGCTCGCTCCTTCAGCTGACCCCAGTGATGAATGTGTAAATCCTGGCCTGTGCAGGACTGGTTCTCAATGAGTCTGGGTTTTCTTTCGATCAGAAGTGTATTGTATAAATGTAAATAAGAATATTTTCTGTAAATATCCACACTTATGAAATACTTTTTCTGTGTACCCAAGTGGCTTTTTTTTGTAATTTTGACGTGTAGGCATCACTGCTGATTTTTGGCAACAAATACCTTTTTTTCAGAGCTGTTCTCCACTTCTTTGAAATAAATATCTTTGTGCATAGATAATGTTCATGAACATATTTTTTCTATACAGCCGGTGTTATTTTTTTATATGTTATAAATATTTTATGAAAAATAATTTAATATCTTATAATGACGACTAAATTTCTACTCCTTTGGCATGGTAGAAGTAAATTTGCAAGGAATGAAACTAAATGAGTTCTGACTGTTTTTTGAGGGGGATGTGTGGAAATGTGTGCTGGGTATCACTGCATAAAATACAATTAGATTAGTTGTAAGTTTTAATGCATGCTGTATGTTTTTTGTATTATATCCAAGACAAATTCACAGAGCTTTTATGTTGCTAAATACAGTAATGGCACCAATTTTTTATATTATTTTTTTATAGAAAGTCTAGTGATAGTCAGACTTTTTCAGATCTTCTTCAAGTCAACGTGTTTCCAGTACCTCTGTAAAGGGAGAATGTAATTTATTTTAATAAAGATTTCTGTTGTGAAAACAATTTCTATTTTTATTGTTTTTTTGTATATCAGAAGGTATGCATGATGGTACTACGGAATTAAATCAAGAACTGTCTACATTTTTCCACCCATTTTCAAACCACTTTATCCGATTCAGGGTTGTGGGGAAGCTGGGGCCTATCCTGGCAAGTAACAGGCACAAGGCAGGGTACACCCTGGGCAGGACGCCACTAACATAGACACGCACACACTCATAGCAGAGGCAGTTTTCCTACCAGTAGGTTTTTGGACTGTGGGAGGAAACTTCAGCACCCAGAGGAAACCCACACAAACACAGGCAGAACATACAAACTCCATGCAAATCCAGATCCAGAATTGAAAGGAGGGTCCCAGCGCTGTGAGGCAGCAATGCCAACCACTTTGCCACTGTCCTGCCCTGTTTACATTTTTCACCAGTTCTTACATGTGAAATCTGCCAGCTGCTTGTCCTTGGTCACACTTTGCCCCTTATCTGCCAGATGAATTCAGATGGACTTAACTGAAGTTGAGGAGGAATAATGGCAATTTTCACCCCGACATTCTTGATATAGACCTCCCGCAATGCCTCTTTTTTTTTGCATTTTTGTTTCATGGACCCTCCGTACAACCCATCTCCACCTCTTGGTTAACCCATCTTTCTCAACACGGGTCTTAGTTTCCTAGTCCTATGGACAGCTGGCTGCCTCTGAACCACGCAGGATAAGCACAAAACTGCTACATGCGAAACACTTCACTATTACGAGTATCCGATACTTGGATATTGTTCCTCCGGGTGAAATGGTCTAGTTTTCTGTGGAAGAGTAAGCAGTCTCTCCTGAGGTGATGTACAGGGCGAGCTCTCTGTGTAATATGCAATGCAAGCATACATGCGACTGAAGCAGGAGGTTTGAGAATCCTCACTGGTGACTGGGGCTGGTGGATGGAGTTCATGCCGACTTGTGGACTGGGGGCTTTACTATCGGTGTTATCAACACTGATTTCTTCCACCTGAAACAAAAAATAATGGATAATACGTTTTATTAAAAAACAAAACAAAACAAAGCACAGAAAGCGATGAGGCTGGAACGGAATTTAATGGGAGAGAATGACCACAGCACACTTTGCTCCTGGCCAGTGGAGAGTTTATTTTTCAAACTTGTTTTTGTCTCTTTCTAATAATGTGCGGTGTGAATTCAGTCCACAAATTCTCATTAAGGTGCACTTTTCCATTCCCTGGCTCGGCTGCTTGGTTTTTTTAAGGGTGTGTGCATGATACCACGTTCTTGAGGTCAACGACGTATGCATGCAACATTTAACAAATAAAATCTTAATTACGGTGCGTATTTTATTAAAGTGGAGAAAACAGTGTAGACTTGGATAGCGGCAAAAACCTGAACGTTTGGTGTCGTGAGTGGGCACTTTTTTTTTATTAGTTTAGATTTTGGACTTGGCGTCTTTGACTGTTGGAATGTATGGGTTCGTATTCACTTCCACCCCCAATAACCCTTTCTTTCTGAAGGTTTCCTCTGTACTACTGCACTTTTTAAAAAGTAAGATTGTTCTTATTTTCTTTACCTTACATACGTAATCTTCATATTTTACCATAAATCTCTTGCGACATGCAAGTTGCTGACGTTGTTGTTGGATTATTAAACGGCGATATCACGGTTAATTAATTGGTAGCGAGAAAACAACACAGCGAAATAATGTAACTGGAGTTAAACTATGCAACACCATTTTAACATTTGTTAAGAAATGCTTAAGTTAAGAACAGAGGAAATAAATAACCACAAAGAGATGTGCGTTACCCTTCACATAAATATATAAATTACAACTTCTGGCCAATATAAACATTTTTAGAGGAAAGGAAATTGAACTACTGACTAAAAAAAGACTTCTGATCTATAAACTTTAAAATGATGATTTTTTAATGAAAGCAGTTTCTGTGGTAATCGAGAACGTTCCCATTTAACTCAAGTTTCAATATGATCACATGTATTTCTCCCCGCTTGTCAGCCTATTGTAGAAGCGTTGCACCCTTATACTTATACAAGGTACATCACTAGTTTTACAACAGTGTCCCCTAGTGAACAACCATGCGCAATACTGCCGGAAAGTAGTCTTATACTACACCTGAAAAACTGTGTCCAAGCTGTACGGTACAAAAATAAAGAACGCGTTTTGAACACAAACAATTGGATTTCTACAGCTGGGGAAATTCTAAAATATTGTAACGCTTACGGCCGACAAGCACTCAATATGTAGTTACCACAATGTAAGCGGCTTTTGAATTTGTATCTTCGTTTATGAAACTCAACGCCCATTGGAAACGCAAGCTTGGCCAGTCGGAAGTACCGCCCTCTCAGATGTGCGCTTTCTTATTCGACAGCGTCTTCGCTCCTGGGAAGCTTCCTGCCGGCGCGAAATTTACAGGCGCTTTACTGTTCAGTGCTCAAACATTTGCTAGATTTGATTCATGCAGATTACAGAATGAAATATCGAGGGATACAAGCGTATTTATTAAATTGAATCCTCAGTGAGATAAAGGATTCGCTGAGTCGTTTATCGACTCAATCAATCAAAGGAAAATCGTATATGTACTTAGCAGCATTGTTTTGGTATTTGTTAGTATTTTACTTCCTTCTCGCTGAACGTATTGATTAATCATCTTTTTAAAAAGACTCTACTTTTAAATACACAGAACACGGAAAATGCTGAAAGCAAAGCTGAAGAATAAACCGGTTTGTGTTTTCCCCCGATTTTATTTTTGCTTGTAAATACACAATTTATTGTGCACTTGGTGATAGTTGACAAAATGAGTTTTGTGTCTCGTTTCAATCTTAGGTGGGGATCGCAAACAACCAGAAAAATATTGCCGCTTTTTTCTCAAAGGTAAGTTTTTCCTGTACCAAATAATAATCATAATAATTAATAATATCAAAGACGGAAAAACCCAAACCATAATATTAATTCAAAGTTATAGCAAACCTTTGCAGTTCTGGTCAAGTCTTGACAAAATGTGTCTGAAACGAGGTGAGTCTCTGAATTAGCCTGTTAAATGTAGTGAGTGATTAACGAATGGGAGTTCAGTCCTGGTAGTGGAGACACTGGTTTGTCGACAGTTTCATGGTTTCTAAAGCAAAAGCACTCGAAGAGCTGGTAGACGCTTTTAAATTAGTCGAGGTAAGCCAGTAAATCAGCTGGTTGAGCTGTGCTGGAATGAAAATTTATAGATACACTGTCCCGCCAGAACCAGGACTAGACACCACTAGGTGGCCTTTCCTATCGCTGGGCTTCTCTCAAAGTGATCCAGATTACTAGGTCATGGCATCGCATGATCAGCAAAAACATTAAAGACTGAATACCCTTCACCTTACTGCATAATAGTGCATCTAAATTGACTGTGGAACCCGCTTGCTGTACCTATGTATGGGGTAAACGTAAGGGTAATTACAAATTAATACTTATTACATAAAATCAGTTAATCTAATCTTTGTATTTTCGGTTAAGACCTAATGAAGAAACAACTTTACATTTGATGACTGCTCTTGGGTTTTAAGTGACCAAGAGCAGTTTTTCTATATGGGCTTAAAGTCATTAATAGCTTTATTTTGCAAGCCTTCATTTTTTACAAATGACTTTTTGGAGACGGTGCGAAAAGATATGTTATTCGATTTTAAGTACTTAAAAAACACAAGTTACTTTTTTAAGTAAATCAAACAATTTGACAATTGAAAGTCAAATGAAAACCGGTCTTCACTCTCTGCAGAGCAGCATTTCTAAGGACCTCTGTTTGTATGAGTGACCTGTGTGCTGATCACTTGCTTTGCAGTGGTGAAGTCGTTCATGTTGTGTATTAACATATTTTCCCACATATCTGTCGGAAGAACCGTTGCCCTCTAGTAGTGTCTCTTTATCTACATTTCTTCTCTGCTCACAGTTTTTTCTGCATTGTTCTAGAAGCCGGTATCCAGCTCGAATGGTTTGCGCCACATGGCGCTTGAGAAGGCTGACGCCAAGAGCCTCGTCTTCAGCCTTCTGGGAAGCAGTGACGAAGAGATTGAAAACGTTCCCGTGTCGCCTCTCTCAACGCGGGACCCCTATTCTGTGCCCGAGACGCCAGACAGCCAGATCGGATCCCCGAACCCGGGCAGGGAGCTGGGCGGTGAGGCCCGGTCTCCCGTTTCGCGGCCCCCGGATCTAGCCAGAACGAGAGAAAAGACCCTTGCCTCCCGAAGGGCTGTCTTGGCCCTTCGGCCCGTCAGGCACTCTTCAGCTCCCCTGCTGCCGGCCAGTCATGGCTGTGTGAACCAAGGCGCCTCTGTGAAAAGGACCATTTGCAGTCCGGTGGAGATGCAGAAACACAAGAGGTTGAAAAAAACCCTTGTCAAGAGGCCTCTGCTCAACAGTAGCAACGGCATGATTGTCAAGGCCTCCGAGGATGATTTCTTGGATGAGTGCTTGAAGATTATTGGTGATTCCCCATCAGAAATGAAGCGTGGGCCCACGATCGTCAAAAGCCCAGTAGGGGGTGCAGGGGACAAAAAAGAAAACAAATGTGGTCCCAAGAGCACCAGACCTCAGGATTCTTCTGCCAGGAAGCACAGCACACCGTTGAGCTTGAGGCCTTTAAATGTGATGTGCACGGAGGCCAAGGAGCCCTCTGGCTTGACCTTTCCCAGCAGTAGCTGCAGTTCCAGCGAGGGCGAAGGAACCCTCTTTACCAAAATTTCGGAGCAGAAAGAGGTCCTTCGCTTGGCCGATCCCTTTGACGAAGCTCCCGGGAGCTTAGCGGAGGCCCTGCCCTGGGCGAAAAGGCTCCTGAAGAGCGAAGAGGTGGCCCGGCGGGGCCCGAGTGGCGCAGCCGAGTGTGTGCCCAGCGCTGACGCTCCCCCGGTCACAGGTGGAAGTGATCCCGCCTCAGAGGGCGACCTGGCTGGGGTGGAGGAGGGCTGGTTCGACGATGTCATGGAGCCGAGTTGCAGAGAGCCAGAGCCAACAAAATTAGCTGCCAAGTAAGAAGCCATCAAGAGTTTTAATTCTTCGAGGCGTGCGAGACTAAAGTATTCTCTTCTGTTTTAAGACCTAGCGGGGATTGTCCTTCTATGCGCATTTGTGACCATAGGTAGATGGTAAAAATGAGAATGCAGAGGTTTGTTCATCTCTCCTAGGTCTCGGCACAAGGGCTCGGGAGAGACAGGTGTTTACGGTAGCTATTGGACCTCAGAATATAATCTGAAGAATGTGATACCTGATACATTCATAAACCCCAAAGGATGGAAAAGTGCTAAAAACAATCAGGAGGGCACTCCACGCAGTGGAGAAGTGAGAAATACCTTCAACTGAATTCAGAGGAAACTTGAGGGAGCACAGATTGTTCAAGGCCAGATTGTCATTTAGCAATGACACAGAAGTTAACACCCTGTCTCTTTCAAGTATCTTTAATATCAAAGTAGGTTGATTAGTAAAACATTTTATACACCGCTGTCAATGCACATATTTAACTGTGTGAATTTTGTTTAAGAGTTCTTAATGTTTTAAAACCTGGAAAAGTAGACCCAGTTCAATCTATGGTTTATATAACGACATGTGATGAGGTCACGTATAGCACATGACATTTTTAAATAAAGGTTAGAAGTTTTTTTTTTTCCCACAGATGTTTTGGTTAGTATGGATCTGTGGTGTTGCCCATTTTTTTACTTTGATCCAGCTAGTTATTTAATTGATTACATTTTGTGTTCCAGCAAACAGAAGCTAATCCCTGAGTACGCCATCCTGTCTTCTGGGGTTCACAACAGATACTGGGTTCTGGATGTGAAGGAGGTTGTGGAAGCACAGGGCTGCCAAGAGAAACACTTGACTATCACTGCCTCGGTGTCCGGCCAGCCCACTGAGCTCTGTGTTCTGAAGGACAGCTGGTAACTCAGTCCCATTATGCTTAGAGCTCAGCAATATCGAACTGAAGTAATGTCTGCTGTCGACTGAATGACGTGTCCTCCCCTCCCTTACTTATGGTCACAGTAACAAAAAGTTTGTGATTTTTGGAAACGTGCTACTGTACCTTGTTTTTACTTTAACTTTCCTAGCAATTCTGCCTTTTTTAAGAGAGAAGGGGCTAATATAAGTAAACTGCAGGTAGATCCTATAGGATGTTGTTGACAAATTGAGGCTCGTCTGTGATGGCGAAAAGCCTAGGTTTTTGATGTGGAGATAGGATGATATATTAAAGGAGAATAAGTTAATATAATAGCCTTACAAGGAGTGTGAACTCCTGTGTCATCAAAGTCATCTCTGTTTTCTCAGGGAGTCGACCCCAGTCCAGAGGGGTGACATTGTTCATCTAGAGGGCGCCAGTGTATCAGGCAGATGGGTTATCGACAGAAACTCTGGGTTTTTGATTCTGTCACCCGACCTGCTCATTTCGGGAACCAGCATTGCCAACAGCATCCGCTGTATGAGACGAGCTGTACTGAGCGAGCGCTTTAAGGTCAGAGAACATGTGGGTTAACAAAGCTGCATACTGTGATCTTTATTAGCATGTTGAATTTTCTGACCTTTAAATGTTATATTTCACTGGGTGGGGTCATAGTGGAAACATATTGCTTTAGGCAAGAGTGTTTATGTCTTTGTTGTTGAAACTGTTGCTTTTTCAGCTCAGAGAGGGCGGCTGCACCAGATAGCTCCCGTTCGATATAAGCAGGGGAGGTCCTGTTTCATTTTATTTTCTGTAGGTAATTTAAAGGGAGTGTAAAGCTAATAGAGGGAGGCATGGTGGCGCAGTGGCTAACATTTCTGCCTTGCAGCACTAGGGCCCAGGGTTCAATTCCCAGGGTGCTATCTGCATGACGTTTTTAGGGTTTGTTTTTCAAAACAAACCTACAAACACAGGGGGTTTGCTCCGGGTGCTCCGGTTTCTTCCCACAGTCCAAAGACACAGTGGTAGGTGAACTGGCTCCTGGGAAAACTGGGACAGGCTCCAGCTCCTCTGTGCCCCTGAAATGGGTGACGTAGATAGAAAATGGATGGATGGTAAAGTTAAAACGGCGCTTAAAATTTTTGCCACTCAATGTAAAGTGAAAACATCAGTTGCTTTTCAGTTATGTTGGAAGTATATGGGCTAAAAGCAAATTGTTTATAAGCATTTCACTGCATTTGTGCATATGTCAAATGAACTGAACTGTCTGACCTAATCAGAAAATAAGATGAGAGAGAAGGAGAAGGAATGAAGAGCTTGAAGCCTCTGATGAGTTTTAAAATATATGCTTGTTGTGTTCCAGGCTTTTGACAAAAGCACGAAACAGATGTTGGTGGGCACCATCGTTCACGAGATCTTCCAGAGAGCCGCTGTTTGCGGAGACTTCTCAGAGGGGCGGCTGCAGGACTTAACCAGCCAGCTGCTGCTCGGTCCCAAGTTCCTCGGAGAGATGTGAGGCCCCTGCCAAGCTGACCGATTCATTTTTGTGTTTCTTTCAATAGGTGGCTTTAGTGAACACCTCAGTGATTTTCAGTTGACTTCTGTAAATTTCCATAGCCAAACCAGTTAATTCCCACACCATTCCCAGGCATGGTTTTTGCATCTATTAGTTGACTCAATCATATTTTTTTAACCACTCGATGGAGGAGCTTTATTATTAGTAGTTGTAAATTACAAATAAGTGTTTTGCAGGTTTTGCATTCCTAACGTCGCTCATCAGTTTAGTAAATTAATAGTTTTAACTTTGTCACAGGGTGGTGATACAGGCTTTCTAATAATGGATTAATCTCAGCTCATCAGGGATCTTTTTCATCTTGCTTTTCTTCTTTTGCTATTGTGCAGGTACACCCTAAAGCTGGGTCAAGCAGACATACAGCAGGAAGTTGAAGAATATTTGCCTTCGCTCTCAAATTGGGCAAGCAGCTACTTCCACGCTTCTGAACAGGCAGGGCTGAAGCAGCTAGAGATGAAATTGTGAGTATGTTTTGAGGGGGTCAGCACTAACTGCACCAGAGCAGTCAGCCGTAGTGTGGGGAAGAACCGGGCCTTTTTTATTTAATCTCTGAGAAATGAAAATATTTGAGAGGTTTGGTTTAGGCTTAAATTGTGTAACACCCGGGGAAACATGTAGGCCTTGGGTAATAATAATAATTAATAATTGTTTACACTTATATAGCGCTTTTCTGGACACTCCACTCAAAGTGCTCCCCTCCACCACCACCAATGTGCAGCATCCACCTGGATGATGCGACGGCAGCCACAGTGCGCCAGAACGCTCACCACACACCAGCTATCGGTGGGGAGGAGAGCAGAGTAATGTAGCCAATTCATAGATGGGGATTATTGGTAAGGGCCAATGGGAAATTTGGCCAGGACACCGGGGTTACACCCCTACTCTTTTCGAGAAACACCCTGGGATTTTTAATGACCACAGAGTTAGAACCTTGGTTTTACGTCTCATCTGAAGGACGGCACCTGTTTACAGTATAGTGTCCCCGTCACTATACTGGGGCATTAGGACCCACATGGACCACAGGGTGAGCGCCCTCTGCTGGCCCCACTAACACCTCTTCCAGCAGCAACCTTAGTTTTTCCAGGAGGTCTCCCATCCAGGTACTGACCAGTCTCACACCTGCTTACCTTCAGCTGTTGTGTTGTGAGTTGCAGGGTGATATGGCTGCTGGCTGGGTAGTGCAATGTTCCACAAGAAAGCAAAGCAGAAACAAACATATTCAAACCTAAACTCCTATTTTTCTCATGATCTTTCTTTAGGCCAAGTGACGGGAGTCTGAGCAAACAAGATACAGCCTGTGGCGTCTCGGTCGCTGAATTCCTGGACATCGAGGAGAACATCTGGTCCCCGCGGTTTGGCTTGAAGGGGAAGATTGACCTCACAGCTGGTGTGAAGATCCATCGCCGGGGCCGAACGCAGCAGAGAGTGATGCCTCTGGAGCTCAAGACTGGGAAAGAGTCCAACTCCATAGAACATCGTAGTCAGGTACAGGCAAAGTGTTGGAGTTCCCAGGGCGTATGGGGCGGGCTTTTGAAATGTTCAAGTCAGCCTTGCGCATTTCTCAACTCTCAGACTTACATTGCTTAGCTGTTATCTTTATTTTTTGCACAGTTTATTCAGTCTTGGGAATCGTCCACAGGTCATCCTGTACACACTGATGAGCTTGGAGAGACGCAGTGACCCTGAAGCAGGTTTTCTCATCTACCTCAAGACTGGCAACATGCTTCCCATCGTAGGCAACCACATGGACAGGAGAGGTAGGCCAGTCGGTGAAAGACTTTCACTGTTGTGTGGAAGGTACATTAGAGGCTTCAAGTTTATAAAGCTCTCTGGGGCTGTTCAGTATCATTGCTATGCTTTTTGCAAGAACTTTCAGAGCAACTCCTGGGTTTTCCTTATTATTGCTGTGACCACAGTGTATAATGTGGAGTCTTGTGACCAAACATTGCTTGACAGTTGTTTTGAATGATGCAATAAGTGATCGGAATGAGTCCTTCCACAGCTTGCAATCTTGTAGACTTCATTTTGTGCCACTGCTTATGGGAAGTTTTCAGGTACCCTGAATGAGTTCAGAGCTCTTAAAAAAAGGCAAGTATAAGACTTGATTACAGTTGCATACAAATGTAAGAAAACCTTGGATAACTTCTTTGTGTTAAATTTTTTTATTTATCAGAGCTGCTGAAGTTGAGAAACACGTTGGCGTATTACCTTAGCAACAGCGTGGAACGTACTGACAGCAAGTCTCCCCAACTGGCATCGATGCCACCTGCCATTAACGACCGCCAGGTCTGCAAATACTGCCCCCAGATGAGGAACTGTGCCCTCTACAACAGGTAGGATTGGCTCGGCCCACACTTGGGAATTTCAGTCGAGCCGGCTGTTTTGTGTAGCGGAGTAATCAGCGAACTTCAGGAAGTTCGAAAGATGAACCTGCAAAGTAAACGCCTCAAGGTAGCATCGGTGTCTTGTTTGCAGAGCTATAGAGAGAGAGAGCTGTGGGGAGCCTGCATCACAACAGCTGCCAGCTTTTCTGGAGGAGGAGAGCCAGCACTTGAACGAGACCCACTTCCTGTACTTCAGCCACTGGTTCCTGCTGTGTGCGCTGGAGAGCCGCACCTTGGAGCGCAGAGGGGGCCGCAAGAGCATATGGCTGCTGTCAGCCAATGAGAGGCAAGTAATATCTTGCTGGACATGCTGTTGGGTTGGGTGGCGTTACGGGCAGTTGTTTTTTCAGTCAAAATGAAAAGTGTTTTTTGTTTTTAAATGAACCTGACCAGCCTCTTGGTTTCCCAAGTTCAAGCTGTGAATGGAAGTTTAGGTTCAGGTCCCTAGCTAATGACTTAGTCCAGCCAAGGGCTGCCTTCCCAGAAGCCTCCTGGCTTGCAATGATGTCACGTGGAGTGAGCTTCTGTTCTACTCCACTCAGTGCTGAACCTTCTGGGAGCCACTGTCAAAAGGTGTATGGCCTGGTGGCTGGGCAGGGCAGAGGAACTTGTCTGCACTGCTTGCTATGTACAGGAGCCATTGCTCTGAGCCAGCACAATCTGGGTGTACAGATTGGATTGGTATATAACAATATTTGGTAATCCTTAATGGAAAAAAAATGCCTATAAGTGACAGTTTGACCACTTCAGCAATTATATTTTTGGATTTGAAACACACAGAATGTATTGCGATTCCTGGTACTAACTCATCCCTGTGCTGCTCATTTAGATGATCAGTCAGGAAAGGGTTTTGTAGCACCGAGATAATGGTTTGTAGTGTTTCCTGCACTGAGTGTAACTATTGTGTAGTGTTAGTCTGACCCCGAGCGACAGTACTGCAGCCTCGGAGAGGTGGCGAGTTGTGGGAAGACGACGCTCCAAGTTTCAGGCAGGTCTAAGCGCTGCCACTGTGGAAACGGTTCTGCTCTCTGCCCTAGAGAGAAGAGTGGCGGGTGTGTTGGCAACCTCTTGCGAAGCGGTCAGGTGGAGGCGGCCTCAGACAACAAGTACACACACCGGTTTGAGGGCCACAACGGAGAGATCCCGGAGACGAGTCTGATGGTGGGCGACCGGGTCGTCGTGAGTGACCAGGAAGCAAAGCTCATCGCTGTGGCCTCTGGGTACATCACAGAAGTGACCAGGACTTGTATAACCTGCACGCTGGATCGGTGAGACTCTTAATACCTGCAATGTTGGCGTCTGCGTTACCTGTTAAAGGGACGCTAATCCGATGATCTATTGTGGACAAATAATAGCAGTGTAAAAGAATAACTGTCCGTTTATTTTCAAGAATTACCTTGAAAGAAATGGTTGTACGTGTGTTATGATTTAATTCCAAACTTTTTTTTTTCTTTACAGAAACCTTTCAAGGCACTCCCCGGAGATTGTTTTCCGACTGGACCAGGATGAGGGGGTGGGTGGCCTGGACGCTCACTTGGGAAACTTGTCCAGGCTCATGGAGAACTCCCCTGCCAGGTTTGTGGTCCCGGCGGCCTTCATGAAACTGTCCTCTTTGTGACCAAGTGTGTACAACTCACCCTCCATCTCGGAACAGAATGGGATAGCCTGTGTAACTTAAGATTATTTTCAAACGGATTTCTCAGGGATTTCAAGTACCAGCAGAATGTGGGAAGGGAGTGAAAGCTTTCTCTAGCTAAGGTTGTACTTGTGGAGGTTTGTTTCTTCAGTGATATGTGAGATCACTGATTTTGTGTGATTCTACAGCGGAAAACTTCGGGAGCTCATTGTGGAATTCCGGCCTCCGCAGTTTGTGCAAAATCTGAGCAGTGTCTTGCCCCGTGAAGCCAAAGACATTGTTGCCGACATCTTAAAAGGTACATTGCGAGCTGCCCTCTTTTTTTAGCTCCTTGGTTGGGCCTTTCTGGAGACAGTTCATTGAAATCCCTGGCGTATTAAGTTGTAAATTCAAGCTTTCTAACAGAGCTAAAAATGTCCTTTAGCCCTTGAAATGTTCTGTGAAATAAAATGTATTTTCAGTTATAACTTTACCAGCATCCCAGACATCCAAGCAACATTCCATCCTGCCCAGTAATGACCTAGTTGATGAGTTGACAAGGTTCAGTGCATTTAAGAGGAGGCTCTTTGACTCATTTAAAGGGGAATGTAGTCACAATTTCTCAGACCGGTTAATAACACTTGGTAACAAGATAAATTAATTGACGTTACTGAAAATTTTTACAAATTTTGAATTGAGCACAAAATGATTAACCTTGTGAAAGTACTATGAGTCACACCTCAAACCCCTGGTTTCGATATGGGCGAACGTTCACACGAATAGCAACCAGATGCAGCCCTTCCTGCTCACTAGTTGCCGTGATTAATGTGATATGCAAGCAAGTGCATACAGATTGTGTAGCAGACATTTCACCACAGAAATGTTCCAGTGTGATCTGCATGCAGAGTTCACAAGTAAATAGTATTTCTCAGCAAAACCGTCTCAAAGTCAAGAGCAATATTTCTATTGGATTACAAGAGATTCAGACTGTCATAGGGCTACGTCACGTCAAGTTCAGAGAAGTTCTGTTGCCTCGTTCTGAATCACAGAATATGATGCTGGGTGTACCTGGAAATTGATTCCATTGTACACAATAACTTGTCAAAAAATCTAACCATTTGTAAAGTACACATATTATAATTTTTAGAAACTGAGGAATGTTTTTCAATTCAGCCAATGTATACAATTATTAGATGACAATCATGCTTTATTTAATAAACTCTGCTTATGTAATACTTGTATCTGATATTATGTATACTAACTGTCACGGACGTCCAAAGGGACTAACCGTGGGGAGCAGGAGAGCGGAAAAGACCCATATGCGTAGCGGCGAGACGGGAAAAAGGCCCGGGCTCATTAGTGCAAAGAGTTCAGGAATGCCGTATAGATTCAAACTGTCATAGGGCTACGTCACTTCAAGTTCACATAAGTTCTGTTGCCTCGTTCTGAATCACAGAATATGATGCTGGGTGGACCTGGAAATTGATTCCATTGTACACAATAACTTGTCAAAATGTCCCATTTTTACATTTTACTTATTGTCATTTGAAATGTACTCATCAATGCTCATTCTTCCTAACCCTGAAATGTAAAAATAGTGTTGTGGTTCCCCTTTAGAAAATGTCATTAAACCTGTACATGAAGAAGTAAATACATGTTTAAATTATTGAAAATCACAGATGGTGAACTTAAAAATGAATCTTAATCAGACCAGAAATTCTGAACATTCATAAACTCCACTCAAGGTGTTGTTAATCAATTTTCAGAAAAAAGATGGACTTGTCTCAGAAAATCTGGTTATTGTTTTTTATCACCTCTGAATAGGACTCAAATTATATATATTTATCAAAATATATCCAATAACTCTATACCATCTAACAAAATGTTTTTTTCACCATAATTGTTTACTTTTACTAACAGCAAATCCAGCAGGAACCAAAATTGTTTCAAAACACCTCAGTTGGCCACATCAAGCTCTGGATCTGTCCATCTGCATGTAGACTCAGGGTTTTATGAATATTTATGAATATTAAAGCTCTAGGTTGCTTAGTTAAATCCTTTAATAAATTACTAGCTATCAGAGGAGCTGTATGATATCAGATGGCCTTATTTTTAATTTAGTTTCCAACTCTTCTATTTTTGATCTAGGGCTGAACAAACCTCAGAAACAGGCCATGAAAAGGGTTCTGCTGTGTAAAGATTACACTCTTATTGTGGGGATGCCAGGCACTGGAAAAACTACCACCATATGCACCTTGGTAAGAGCTGCCTTGTTTGTATATCACACATTACAGATAATCCCCAGGAAAATGTACATCAGAACGGTCCCTTTCTATTATTTATTATTAGTTCTATTATTTTTTATTTCAGAAATTCCCCGCAAAAGATTAAATTGACTCAATGTAATGTCCCATCTCTGCTGGTTCCCATTTATGTAAATAGTTAATTACATACAAATGTAAAGTAATTGTAAAATGAAAGATGAAAGCAGTAAATTATTTTATTTTGTATATGTTCTGCTTGGAAATTGAACCAATTTGGTTGTAGATTCCGTGAAGGTTATATGTGAATCTTAGTCACATATCTAATATCCTTTTTTAATATCCCGAGGCTCTGTTTGGATTAAGTCCAAATGTGCTCATGTGGCCTTCTCAGCATAAACATGATGCGGTTGTCTACTGATGTGTTTCTCGAGGATCTTTCTGCTCAGAGAGGGCAGTGTAGTATATCACCAGCAGTGAGGCCACACTTGAGCCTTCAGTCGCTGTATTTAAAGTAAAACATCTTCTTGTGACAACCCCTTGCATTTCCTCAGGCAGCTTTGCGGACTGACTGATTTTAGCTAGAGTAGCACAGAAAGATAGACAAAAAAATACATCCCTTGGAATAAGACGGTTTCAACAGCTCTGGCACAACAGTGCTTTAAGCTGCCTAATTTCCCATTTTCTTATTTTCTTATTATTTAAAAAAAAGGATAAATTATAAATAATAGAAAGTAAATAAAAAAATGCCCTACTGACAGAATGTGTAATGGGCTGTAACTGACTGTAGTACATGTCATGATGATGGATTGCAATGATCACGGTGATGACGTTCCCCATTATAAGGCCGTGACTAGATCCAGTTTTCACGCTGAGCTTCGTGTTGTCCAGGTGAGGATCTTGCACGCCTGTGGCTTCAGCGTGCTGGTGACCAGCTACACCCATTCCGCTGTGGACAACCTCCTGCTCAAGCTGAAGAAGTTCAAGATCGGCTTCCTGCGCCTGGGGCGCGCGCAGAAGGTCCACCCTGACATCCGGCCCTACACGGACGAGCAGAAGTGCCGCTCGCGGTCCATTCGGACCCTGGCCGAGCTGGAGCAGCTGTACAGCAGCGAGGTGAGTCGGCGCTGCGAAGACGGGGAGGGGAGACCGTCGCCTTCCCCTGGCACAGCACACACACACCAAGGAAGGAGAAGATTTGAATAATCTTCTCTAGTTCTCCCTTTTCTTTGCTCAGAGCCTTCCAGCTCCGAGCCTGTGGAGTCCGACCGTACAGGCAGTCTGCTGCTCTGTCGTAGTGTCTGAGCTCCTGTGCTCCTCTCTGTCCCTCTAGCTTGTGGTGGCCACAACCTGCCTGGGCGTGAAACACCCCATCTTCAGCCGGCGGCGCTTTGACTTCTGCATCGTGGACGAGGCGTCTCAGATCAGCCAGCCCGTGTGCCTGGGGCCCCTGTTCTACGCGAAGCGCTTTGTGCTGGTGGGGGATCACCAGCAGCTGCCGCCCATCGTTCAGAACTCGGACGCCAGGTGAGCTGGGCGGCAGGGGACTGGGCTGAGGCACACCACTGCCCGTCTCTGGCTTTGGGCCACGGCCCCAGTGGCTGTGCTGTGGGATTCGAGCCGTGCGCTGCTTGGTGTTTGCAACCGATGTCCTTAAGGGACCTTCTGGTCAGAGAGGTTTTGACTTCTGATTCTTGGGATCACGTGGTTCGGTGTTAGGCTTAGTCTGCCTGTGCAGTCATTTTAAAAAGCTCAGAAACTAGAACTGGCTTTTTTTTGTTGCTGTTTACAGGGCTCTTGGCATGGATGAGAGTTTGTTCAAACGCCTGGAGCGCCACAGCGACGCTGTGGTCCAGCTGACAGTGCAGTACAGGATGAACAGGTAGGCAGCTGTCCTTGGAGAACTTGAAATGGAAGTGCCAGTTTTTTTCTCATCTCTTTTCACCTTTTCATTCATGCTTTGGATTAAGTAATTGCCGTGTACTTCACCGTTGCTTCTGTTTTTAGCAAAATCATGTGCCTGAGCAACACCCTGGTGTACGGCGGGAAGCTGGAGTGTGGGTCTGAGAGAACAGCCAGCGCTGTGGTCCACCTTCCAGCATGGGGCGCTGTGGAGCAGGAGCTGGCCCTCGCCTGGAACAGGGCTGACAGCTGGAGCTGGATAAGAGGAGCCCTGGAACCTGGGAACCCTGTCTGTTTCCTCAATACTGCGGAGGTGGGACACCAGGGCTGCTGCTCGAACACTGCTGTGTTTTCCCGTTTTTGGTTGGATAATAAAACTTTTTTAAATGCTGATACGGGGACCTCTTGAGTCCCTTAACTAGTAAGCTGTTGGAATGCAGGATTGTTTCTCTGGGGACTTAACATCTGGACCATAACTATATCTAGGTATCCAGCCAGAGCTCTTAGGGGTAAAGATTAAGCAGGCTTGGGTCACTGTGCATCTGTGACCCTTTCCTTTGTTACTTCGATGTCTCTGGGTGTCAGTAAGGACTGCAGGACCGCAGATTAACATGAGGCAAACTGGAAGGATCCACTTAAATTCAGAGCTTCTTGATGTATGGGAAAATGAGCTCTGTTTTCTTCTTACTCTGATACAACACAAAATGCCAACACTACAGAGTTAACTGAGAGAATGGGGGATTAAAATACCTCCCTCGTTTGCAACCAGTCTAATGAGAGCTCATCAGCATTTTAATGTTGGGGACTTGGCAGAAGATGCAGGTCAGGATGTCTCAGGAAAGCTCTGTCATGCCTCTAAATCTGTACAGTGTCAGGACTCTGGGTCTTAGATGATCAGCTGTAAAGCGAGTATGCTGTGTCTATTGAACAGTTACTACACGTTCCTGATCTTCAAGGGTGGTGTAGGATTTTAAGATTGTGAGCAACAATACTTTGTGACAGCTTCTGTGTGGTTCAAGATTCATTGCTGTCTTCCAAGAACAACTGAGTTAACACTAGAAATACGATGAGCAAATCAAGGCTCCTCTTGTGGGAAAACTTTACCTTCTTGTCTGACAGACTGGTTTTCCTGTTACAGGTTCCAGCCCCTGAGACTGCAGAAAAAGGAGGAATCAGTAATCCCAGGGAGGCAGTCTTGGTTCATTCAGTTGTCAGCATCCTATTGAAGGTGAGAGCTGACAGACCAATTTAAGCCCTCTATTAAGACATTGAGCAGTTTGTCCAACTTGCTCCGAGAAAGCCTTACAACCAGCCTGCCCATCTACCACAGCCCAGATCTTCAAAATCTCAGTTCCTGTACATCGGAGGGAGAGTTAACCCTCCTTATTCAACCGGACAAGACTGTCTAGTGCTGCACTGATATTGAACAGATTTCGTTACAGTGTAGTTTTGAAACCACCAAGGCAAATGAGTTTGTCGGCCCTGCCTTCCTACAGTGCTGAAATCCTGAATGATAGCAAATATTAGAGCTTGAAGTGGGCTGTGGGGTCATTTCTCTTCCAGTGTATCCTCTTGGAGTAGTTTATTTCCTAAATACTTGGTTATATCCTGAAACACAATTTTTTCCTATTTCAGAAACGGCTATACTTGATATCTGAATCATTATTTGTATGAAGTACCAGTATTTGCCAAGTTTGTTTTATTTTCAAAAAGTCTGCAAATACTCTGATCTTTGACTTCGTTCAAACAGAAGAGTGCTTTCCATGATGCCATGAAATAGTTAACCCTTTAGCCACTGATGCTTGTGCCTGATTCCGACCTCCTTTTGTTTAGGCTGGCTGCAAAGCGTCAGATATTGGGATTATCGCTCCTTACAGGCAGCAATTGAAGGCCATATCAGGCCTGCTGGGTAGCACTGTGTTCAGGGCGGTGGAGGTGAACACAGTAGACAAGTACCAAGGCCGGGACAAGAGCATAATCATTGTGTCTTTTGTGAGGAGTCACAGCGATGGAAACGTAAGTATCCATTTACTGGTGAGAGCCCACTCTCCCTCATATTGTATATGGTGAATTGTGCATTGTAGACATCAGTGCCCTGGGCCCATATTCTCCACTGGGGAGAACACACAGAGCTCCTGTTGGTTTAGAAGGCAAACCTCAATGATGCTGACTACTAGGTGGGCTTACAGTGAAATTAAAGATCGCCATCTCTGAGAAAAAGAGGTTTGTCAGGTGAAAAGAGGACATGGCTTTTAGCCACAGTTTAGATCTTATGTGAAGAAATGGGGGGGTGGAATGAAAATCTATATTGATTGTGGCAGATGTAGATTAAAGATAAAAATGAAATGAGCCCATTTTCTTTCATTGATCGTGATGGAGCTGTGCTGTGCTTGGTGGTGTTTTATGTTCATTAGATGTTACCACCCCGATTTCTTTTTTCAACAGCTGGGCGAGTTGCTAAAAGACTGGAGACGCCTCAACGTCGCCATCACAAGAGCCAAGCACAAGCTAATCATGTTGGGCTGTGTGCCAACACTGTGCCAGTACACGCCCCTGGAGAAACTGCTCTCTCACTTGGAAAAGGAGCAGATGATATCCTTTCTCAACTAGTGTCACAGCTAGAATTTAACAGGAAACAGTCTTGTATTCTTTCCTTTTCTTTATACAGGGTGAGAAACGTCATAACTGCAGTGTCATTTATAGTGACTGGTTTTGGAAGGGCTGTGTTTTACTTTGCCTCATCTGTTCACATGGTTGGAAATGGAAAGAATAGAAATTGGAAACAAAGAAAAAAGATTCCGGAGTGAGCTCAGTGGAGACCGTTTTATATAAAACATCTTTCAAGAGCAGGCTGGTTTCCCCAGTCTCTGCCTAATGAGTTCTGTCATTGAATACTGTTTTCCATAACTAAAGGTAACATTTTCCAGCTTCCACCAGGAGCACAAGAAGCCCTCCCAAGAATATCCCTGTAATATGAAGCCGACCTGGGAACAATAAGCCGGAGAGGAATGAAGAATCTCGCTTTCTTGTTATATACCTCAGTACCCGTTAAGGTGTTTTCATAGGTGCGTACCTAGATAAGTAGCAAAGCATCCATTACAGTATTAATTACACTAGTGTTTTGATTGGGCTGCTAGCTTTTAGAAGCTGAAAATGACATCTAAGCATGAGACTAACGTCCTTTGGATGATCTAAGATTTTAATTTATTTTGACAATGAAAACTACTGCCGGTACCTGAGTTTCCTGAGCAAATTTCTAGCATCACACAAAGATGCTGTGATATGTCAATGAAGAAGCTCTTTGTTCAAAGGAAACTTCTCTCTAAAACACTGAAAACCCTCCAGTGATACCTCACCTTGCTGATTCTGATGTTTGACTCAAGGATTGGTAGGAAACTTAGTTCCATACTGTGGACTAGTAAAACCTTTAACTTGTTACATTCATTTATGTTCAACTACTGTATGTTGTTAGTCTAAAAGGACTGAAAGCTCACTTTAAAGCTACAATGGTGACAATTCATTTGAAGTGGTACGTTTGTTTTTGTTTCCATTGTAAGATGGTCTGAACATTTTCCTACAAAAAATGTTTGTAAGCACATTTTAGAACAGAATGGCTCTAAAAATGTACTGGGATTTTTTTAACTTATGGTTCTAAAATATTTTCAGAATGGAAATATTTTGTATGTTAAACTTTGCAAATAACTTACCTCATACAGAAAAAGTATTTAATCCTTGGTTCAAACTTGAGTTTTTGATCTGTGGTACTTTTTCATGTGTCACTGCTGAAACTAATGTTTTGCCAGTCTTATGAGGATTTAGATGTTTATTTTCAGTGTCTTGTAGATATTTTGTAAAGTTTTATTTTTTTTTTACTTTTTTAATCTGAGTATATACTGTATATCCACTGTTTATAAAGAATAAAGGCTAAATTCTATTATGGAGATGGAATGTTTCTCTTTATCCCCTAACATTTATGTGCTATTGAATTTATAGAACAATTTTCTTTGCTTGCTTTAATCACGTTTACCACTGGAAATGAGATGACACCAGGTAGGATTTGGTATTTTGACAACATGGTAATAGGAATATGTTTGTTTTATCAGCCTCATGAGCTTACATTTTAACAGTTGACTAAAGGATCACCTAGAGAGGGTGTGATTCCTAAATGATGCTTGTGTGCAGTTGTTTGAACTGTTGTGTGAGCACACTGTTGTGTGTTCTGAACTCTGTTTCATTAAAGTTCATTAAACATCTTCTGAAGCCCTCAGTAAGTAAAAGGGAGGTCATTGTGACTGGTGTAGATCAGAGCTGGTCTCCACTGGTATCCTTTGATTGGGCCATGCCTGGAAGACATACAGACTCCCCTGAGCACTGCAGGATGCAGTTAGTTTTTGTTGTTATATTAAGGTCCAGTATGTTTCCCATTAGCAGATGACCAAAGCTTCACTGAAGGTGATGAGATGAAAATTCTTCTTTTAGATTGCGATCTTTGTCTCTTCCAGACTAATTCCGGGTTGTAGGAGCAAGACGAGGCAAATAGTTGTTAATTCCATATAAATGTCATTATTGGCTGCTGCTGATAAATGCCTTCTATCAACCTTAAGTCCCTTGCAATGTTGGAACTTGGAAGGCAAAGTTCAGTCACTTTGGGTCAATCCGTCTCGGATCTCGGGCGCACAGAAAGTGGAAAACAAACTAGTGTAATAACACCCAAACCCCTGGGACGTCTGCAAGGTTAACAGAATCTTTAGTGGGATAAGCAAAAAAAAAACTGCACGCAGTCTTAAAAATGAAGAGCAGTGTGGACTGGATGCAGACGTTTCGCTCAGTGCCGTGAGTCTGGTGATTTTGTGAGCGCGGGACTGCAGGCTTTCATCAGAAGAGTCTACAGCGTGAGCTTTCCTTGCAGAACAAGGACTGCTTCACCAGCTATGTCCACTCTCCCGTCCTCCCTCACGGACAGCCTGAGCTCCCCTCCACGCCGAGAGCACTGGAACGCTACAAAGAGCATCGATGGCAGTCAGCCTGATAATCGTGCCAGTGAAGGCCTGTCACTCCTGGCTGAGCTGCTCCTCTTGCTAGAATCTCATTTGCCCAGTCAAAGCAGAGGTGTTGGGGAGTTTAGTTTTTGGCAGGTAATATAATTCTTGGTAAAAAAAAATAAACATTCAAATTTTGAGCAATGCTTAACAGACTTTTAACAGATTTTTTCGGGTAAAATCAAGTCAGTCCTGTTACCTGTTTTTAAAAGGCACACACAATATTTTTTTTCATTCTCCCCAAAGCTCATTTAGAGGATGCAATGTTGGCTCATACATTTCCAGAAAGAAATGAATACTTACCCAGCATCTTCTGCTTTCCCAGCTGCTCTGACCAGTAGCTGCTGAGCACAGTGTGCGCAGAGCCTGCAGGAGAGAAGAGTGTCATCTTTTCTTTTGTAAACAAACCTGTGGCATGCCAATGAAATGTCTGATCCCTTACATAACAGTTCATTGTGTGCCAGATAATCACATTAACATGAAAGCCTTTGTTAAGTACCTGGCCTTGGTCCTCTATGTAATGGTTATGAGAAGTGTTTGTATAACAAGAGGACCAGTACTAATCACTATTTTTTTTTTTGTCTAGCACTAGTTTGTACAGCACATCAAATATTAAACAGAAAATTAATTAAAGGAAATGGCAACTAACCCACCTGTCACTGGATCCTCAGAAACACCATTCCATGGAGCAAAGTATCTGGAATAGAAATCATAGCCAGGCTGCCCTTGGGGGTTTCCTTTAAGTGTGAGGATCAGTCCTTTCACTTTACCAGTGCTGTCACTTTGCATCAGAGACTGGGGGTCTGGCTTCAAAGACTCCAGCATGGACCTGAAACCACACTCAAAAACAACACTTCCTGACGCACATCCACAAATCGCACATACCAAACAAATCTTAGATGAGGCTGTTCTCCAGAAGGGCTGCCAGCATGGCACATCCTGATTTCATCCTTGCTGAAATCCTGATGTTTGGGGTTAGATCTTTTTAAATACAGGGGGAGAATTTGGAGGCAACTGTTCCAGATCACAATCCCAAAGGCCCTGTTTGATGCAACTTTTACAACCCTGTCAGGTAAATCCAGAAAAGGATTGGTTTAGACGAGACAAAACCAATGCTCCAACATCAGTCTACAAGTCTGACAGGTAAAGGAATCTCTGCACGCAGTGATTAAAAGAGACTGGTTTCCAGATTCAACAGAATGCCAGGAGGGATCTTGACAGATCACTCTATGATGTGGTACAGAAAAATATACTGCTTTCTATATTCATAATGACATAGAAAAATGGAGTGTGGATTTACAAACTGAGTAGATTTGAAAGCAAGGTTACTATCCTTTCAGGAAATCCTAAAATGGGCTGAATATGGATGTAGCAAGTCAAGGCCTGAAGCATCACTTCTTACCTGTCACAGGTGTCGGGGAGTCGTACTAGCAACTTCTTGGTGACAGCGCAGTAACGCACATCTTGAACAGCCACCTCGCCAGCTGCACTCTGTAACAGTTCAGACTTATTTAACATGGGAAAGTGGCATAGTGGTGCAGTGGAACAAGTAATAGGTTTATTCCATGCTGAAAAAAAGTAAGAAAGAAAACACAACGTTTCGGCCGTGGAGCCTTCTTCAGGTGTGAGAAAGACAGGGCAGTAAGCAAAGGTAATGTAGTGGGAGAACAAAAGCTGGGAGAGAGGAGGAGCAAGAGGCGGGAGCAGGGGACAGAAAAGGAGGCCAATCAATGTGGTGATAGGTTACTGTGATTACAGTGGTTAGCATTGCTGCCTTGCCGTCCTGGGGCCTCAAGTTCAATTGTGGACCTGGGGTGCTATCTGTGTGATTTTCCCCCTCATTCTGATTCCTCCCACATTCCAGAAACATCCTGGTAGGTTAATTGACTTCTGGGAAAATTGTCCCTGGCGCGAGTGTGTGCATGTTTGTGTCTGTGTGCTCAGTGATAGACTGGTATCCTGGCCAGGGTATACCCCGCCTCACGTTTATTCCTTGCTGAGATAAGTTCTGACTAACCGGCAACCCTGAATTGGAAAAGCATTAGAAAATGGATGGATATCTTGTGCGTTTCTATGCTGGTCTGTTCTAGCTACATACTGTTTTGACCAGCAAGGGCAATTTGCCTTTATAACTGCCATGCTGCATATCTCTTCAGGTACATTTCATGTTACCTAAATTCTTTGCAAAAAATATTTTATCTTTGCTAAGGAATGCTTAAATATCTGGTAGCAAACTACAAGTTGAAGTTTTCGGATCACCATATTGGAAAACTTACTGGGCTGAATATATAGTATAAACCATTTGAGGCAGATGGCTCTTGGAAAAATGAAAGTTCCTTCATTACCTATAAAATTCAAGATAAGGTTTCATCGACAATTGTTTTTTAATTCATGGAGAAATTTTCAAAGCAGAGGTCAGGAAAAGAAAACAGGACATTAAGGTTTTCAGCATTGCATTTCATGTTATTCCTTAAACCTCTGGACAATTAAGATAATTTTACTAGCAATTTAGCCATTGCTAGTAACAAGCCAACTCACCTCTATCAGTTCTTTCACTTCATTTGGGTCCTGTAAAAGAACAAACTTTTTTACAGCAACAAGTCTCCTGAACAAGGATGTTTTCTACTTATGGTTGTATATTAAACCAAAGACTTGCAAACAAAGATGACATTAAATATATGAAGTAAATCAAATTTAACAGAAGTGAACTAAACACTACTTGGAAGATACCAAGGGTTTTGCTACAGTTTGGCATCTGTTTAAGAAAAGCATATAGAACCATTCCCAACTTTTATTTTTAATAACTGCTGGATTTGTTCATAGAGCGCACCTGGACTGTCGGCTTATAAATAGGGAAATCAAGTACAATACGGTTTCCTTCCCGTCGGGCATACAGCTCTCCACTCAGTGTTTCGAAAACGAGCGTCGCGTTTGCATTTTCTGGAAAATAAAATGTTATCCAGAAGAAAAATGATTTAATAATAATAATAGCTTACACTTATATAGCGCTTTTCTGGACACTCCACTCAAAGTGCTTAACAGGTGATGGGGACTCCCCTCCACCACCACCAATGTGCAGCATCCACCTGGATGATTTGATTAAATTCTTCTTGGAGAACTCCTAGCAGTCAGTGCATAACTAACCAAACCCTGCCAAAGTAACTGGCAGGTCATCTGGAGAAACTTGAGAATACCCCACAGGCCAAGCCCTTGCTAGCATGGGCATGAACAGAGGGAGCCCTGTGGCCCTGTGCAACACTGACACTGGGCTCCTGCGTTCTATGGTTGTAAAAAAACTAAAAAGCCTTTCTTTCTGTAAAAGAAGCCGAAGGGCTTTTTGCAATACAGCATTTCAGAATGTGTTTGCTCGCTCTCTTCATCTTTCTTGGGCACAGGCAGCTGCAGTGGAAATGTTGGTTAAGTTGTCATTGGCTATTCTGAGGCTCCCATTGATCAAAGGTCAGAGTGCAGTGTGTTTTTGTTGTCTCTTTAATTATTACCTGCTCTAGACTAGGAAAGGGGTCTAAAGGTTCAGCTGAGTGAATCATTAGCTCTGTGGTTTGATTTAGAGCTGAGATGGAGTGGAAGGATAGCCCAGCGAATCTCTGCATCCAGAGCACAGAAACACTGTACTATTCCACATGGTTGATTAAAAAGAAATAAAGGGAAGATTTCAGTTGAAATCCTGTATTTAAACACAACAGCGCCAGTCTATGTTGGACCCCACAGTAGGTTGAGCCATTGGATAGAAATAGTTCCATGTGGCTAAGCATTATTTTTTTATAATACTAATTATATAACCTTTATTTATATAGGACATTTTTTTTAAAAGTAAACAAAGACAGGAGATAACAACATTAGCACAATAAACACACAAGGGATTAGAAAGAAGGGATTAGAGGAAGACTCAAGAAGTAGACCCAGCCCCCAATTAAATAAAAAGCCTTGCTGAAGAAGAAGGTTTTGTGTTTGGATTTGAATGGGCGCAGAGCAGGTTACTCTGATATCCTTGGGAACAGAATTCCAGAACTCTGGGGGCACAGCAGGAGAAGGCCCTGTTACCTACTGCGTGTAAAGGAGGAGACCAGAATCAGACAAACAAAAAATGCCAGGTGGGGAGTAGGAAGATAATAAGGCGGATGTGTACTCAAGTGCCAGGCCATGTAGATCCTTATGGATTTTGAAGTCGACATGAAACTTGACAGGAAGCCAGTGCAAGCACTCCAGAACAAGAGTAATGTGGTCACTTCCACGTGACCTGCTGGATTCTGCAATACTGAAGTTTGCTCAGTGTAGATTTAGATTCCCCAGCAAGAAGGGTGTCGCATAATCAGTTCTATAATAATTGAGTGTGTTGACCACGTTCTCTACCACAGTCAGAGAGGACGTAGTCTGGCGATATTTATCAGATGGAAGAATGATGTTTTTACAATATTTTGCACAGGCGGGTCACACGTCAAGCCTGTATCACATATCGCCTCCCAAATCCTTGAATTCAGATTGAAATTCAAGCACAGTGCCACCCACAGGCTACTGCATTGGCTTTACAGAGTTGATAGGAGGTGTCGAGAAGCATGACTTCAGTCTTTTTGCAGTTTTAAAGGAGGACATTTTGAGTCATCCTGGTTTTTATGTCAGAGATGCTATTAGAGAGCGAAATAAGAGTACAAAAAAGTCACTTCATCTTGCTAAGAAGAGTAATTCTGACACTTCGAAGCGGTAGGTTCTTACTTTTCACGTAAAACAATACAGCAGCAGAAGCCAAAGTCGCATGTCCGCAAAGAGGCACCTCATTGGTGGGTGTAAACCAGCGCAGCCCAAAGCGAGACCCTGCAAGAGTGAGAAGAGAGCTGAGGGTCCTGGTCCTTCAGGACAACCTGCTAAACACTGCCTCAACTTCACTTGGGGTTCACAAGTCTTGACAACCACCCTCTTAAGCCAATGCACTGTTAAATCTGAGGTACATTTCTAAAAAAAATATTGTAACGGATTCAGGTTCTCGGGCCTGTGCCATCGCCGCTCCCGCCCCAGTTCGTCCCTCACCACATGGGCGCAAACTGGGCCTTGCCAGCTGAGCTAAAGAAGATCTTCCTCAGCCCCGGCGGTCAATAATAATAATAATAATAATAATAATAATA